AGAGAATAATGCTTGGTCATCGGACATGGGTCGGGAACCCCCGTTCCATGGAACTTTTTGTTAAAGTTGTTCATCCATAACACCGACCACTTAACCATCAGAGTCTGAAAATATTGCTTGGTCATCGGATATCCGCCGGGAACCCCCGCTCCATGGAACTTTATCTGTTAAAGTGGTTCATCCATAACACCGACCACTCAACCATCAGTGTCCGAGAATAGTGCTTGGTCATCGGACATTGGTCGGGAACCCCTGTTCCATGGAACTTTGTTCTGCTCATTTCCTTCATCCAGGACACCCACCATTACAGCATGAGTGTCCGAGAATAGTGCTTCATCATCGGATATCCACCGGGAACTCCCACCGTTACAAATCCAGAAAAAAAATTTCATCCAGCAGACCCACCCACCCCGACATTGTGTCCGGGGAAGGTGCCCCATCCCGGGGCTACCGGGGAGCAGAACTTGAGTTATCCACGTTTTAGTAAAGACCGGATATTCGACCAAAGTGTCCGAAAATAGTGCACCGAAGTCGTACGCGGCCCCGGGAAGTTTCCCCGTCTCTCCCCGGTAGCCAGAACTTGAGTTATCCACGTTTTAGTGAAGACCGGATATTCGCCCAAAGTGTCCGAGAATAGTGCACCGAAATCGGACTAGACAGGCCGGGGAACGGGCCCCGTATCCCGGCCCCCGAACCCTCTTTTCGGCCCGGATTTGCCCCAATATGCTTAGGCCCAGCTGGGGAACGCTCCCCCCGAAGCCCGGGCCCCTACCCTGGAGCTCTCGGTTTCCAAAAACCAGGTTTCTGAAATCTGCGACCTGGTTGCCCAGTGATTTCCCAAGCCGCCCAAAAATCTCCAGGGCTCAGCTGAGCTTTCGGCCGCATTGTCAGACTTTGACTTGAGCCAAAAAAGTCCGGGTTTTTTTGTCAGGGCTTCCATGCATTTTTCCGGCTGCATTGTCCGACATTGACTTAGTCTCTGAGCGAACAAAAAATACTAAAAAAGAAAATTCGGCCGTTCCCGGCCTCAGTTAAGTCCAGAAAAAGACGCCAGAACCCGGACCCATTACCGGATCACCCCGGTACACCCCCGGAGCTCCGCAAACACCTCCAGAGGCCGGGTACGGCCGAATTAAGTCCGGAAAAAGACGCCAGAACCCGGACTACTTTACCAAACACCCCCAAAGCCCGGATAAAGTTCCCAAACACCTCCAGAGGTGTCCCTAACCCTAACAAAAGGAGCAAAGCAAGTTCAGTTTGTGTATTTATTTTGTAACGTTACTGACTTAGAAAGTTATATTTCAGGTTCAGCGACAGACACAGCTACGGGTTGGTCACAGCGAGGTCACACGGGTTGGATATGGTGAGGTCACACTGGTTGGTCACTGTCACGACCTGGCTCTTTGGGCCATGACAAGATTGGAGTTACACTGGTTTCCGAGGTGTAACATTCTTTATTTAACACACAAAACAACGAAAAACCATAACCATTCCAGATGGGATGCGAATGTCAGTATTATCAGTAGTGTAGGATGTGCATGAGGGTAAAGTGTAAATGGTGGGTGTTGTCCAGGGCATTTAACCCAAAGGAAAACCGGATTCAACAGGCGGCTGCCCTACCACACCGGACGTCTGCTGGAGAGAGAAGAGAGCGACCGAATCAATGAATGAACACAGGGCTTTCTAATCTCAGGGCACCTGGCCCAGGTGCCTTCAATCACCAAATCTCATTGGAAGGCTGCTGCCTCCACAGCAGGGGTCGTCACAGTCACAGTGAGGTCACAAGGGTTGGTCACAGTGAGGTCACACTGGTTGGATATGGTGAGGTCACACTGGTTGGATATGGTGAGGTCACACTGGTTGGTCACAGCGAGGTCACACAGGTTAGCTAGCTAGTTAGTTAGTTACATACGGTGAGCTAAAAACATCTAAATTGTCAGGTTATTGTAAAGACTGTCATAATTTAATCAGGATTGCATTAATGAGCAGTTGATAAATGTCTCAAAACCAGACATTTGACCAGTTTGTCTGTGTCCCCCCCCCAACAGCAATTTTTCAAACCAGTGTTGGCTTTTTGTTAATAAACCTTCCTACTGGGCTCTAAAGGAGCCGTTTGCTAGAGACTCAGAGGACAACAGAGCCACCTGACAGAAGCGCCGCCAGCAGGGCTTCACCTCAATGCCTTCGGCGCTGCTTCATGCGTCCCAAGGGAGGAGGGAGCAGGAAAAGGGCTCAAAAGAAGAAAAAAAAGAGTGAAACTCTGGGTTTCATCTTGCAGAGCACGTTGCTAAGAGACTCAAAGGGTTTCGCCCATCTCTTGATCTTCTTTTTTTTATTCAACGTTATATTGTTTTCTTATTGAAGCAAAGATGTTTTTTTGGTAAATACGGGGTGTTTCATGGCACAAGTTCCTTTAGGGGTCGTTAGCCATGGAATCTCACATCCACACAATTCTCCCTCAATGAATTTCCCCAAGTTTGTTTTTTCACTGTAATCTCTCGATCAGCTCCAGACCTGTTGAGTCTTAAGCCTCGCGCCCCCCCTTAAGAAGAGAAAAAAAATCCAAGACAAAAGCACGAATGCATAATTGATACGGAGAAGCTGCACTTTTAATTTTTGCTGGTGTTCAAAGTCGCTCTGCGGCTTTGTCTCTGGGTCTGGGCCGGCTGCTTCCGATGGTTCCAGTTCCATTCAGGTCTTCTCTAGCGCCCAAAGACAACGGCTCCGAGCTCGCCTCTTTTCTCACAATGCACTTCCTTAGGCTGCACACAAAAGAGGCCAGCGCGTGAAAAAAAAACACCCAAATTCAATGGCATTCCTCTCCACAATGCGCTGTGAGAATATGCACTTGTCACCCCCCCCGTTCCCTTTGGGGTGATGAATTAGGATGATATGATGTGTGTGGGATCAGGAAGGAATATTTAGATATATAGCGCCAGCAAAACGAAACAAATTGTGTAAAAGTGGGAGGGGATTAAGGAGAAACCGGTCGACAGCCATGAGATGCGCAGTGATGTGCATCGCATGAGTGAGGCTCCTGTTTGATCAAAAGTTATTCGAATTCTGACTTCCATTTAACGTGTAAATGTTTACTGAGGGAATAAATCAAGAGAGTAGTCAGTTTTCTCATATTCTATGGGACCAGAGGAGTCGCCCCCTGCTGGTCACTGCAGAGAATGTAGGTTGCCTCCTGTTTAGTTTGACGATGCAATAAACCTCATAATCAGATTGCCGCTTCGTGCATCAACAGGAAAAAAAGCTGTATTAATATGCTGTTTATTAGCACTTCTGTCTCATTTGAGTCTCCTTCAATCCATCGTACCTTCAGTCGTCTTCTGCTAATCAGCTGTAATCAACTGGTAACAGAGAAAAAACGCTGTCCCCTTCGTGACGCTGTTCTCTTCACGCTCCAGAGCTAAATGGAATGCGTCGACCTCTAATGGAGAGAGTGGACTAAAAACAGACTTATTCTAACGTATTTACTTTATTTTAATGCATTAACTTGAACGTTTTGGCAAAGCTAACCTCGCAGTCAGCAAGTGAGACCCGGGCTGACATTAGCTCCCCGGTCACATCTGCTGGGTGAGGAGGGAGCCGGAGGCCGGTGTTGCTGGTGATGGGGTGGTGAGGGGGCCGTTATGAGGGGGCGGGGGGGGGGGGGGTCTGCACCATTGAAATGAGAAATGAAGCCAGTTCTTTTTTTTTACTTCTGTTTATTAGAACTTTGTACTGTACTATCCGATAACACCATTATTGTAACCAGCAAAAATGGTTGATTTGCGAGGCGTCTGTCAGCCAACTGTCTGACATTAGCACGTTAAAAGGACTGACGTTCTTGCAGCGTACCGTCACTCCTGTCTATTACGGCATCTAGGCAGCTATAGACCCGAAGATGACATGATGACACGAGTTGGGCAAAACTTGAAAAAAATATTCACGACAGCTTGCGTTCGCAGATTACTTGGAGGACCGGACCGGACCCCCCCCAAAAAAATATTTTTATTGCAGATCTACATGAATCACACAAATGAAAGGTGACAAGTTTGCACCCCTGTGATCCGGACGGCATACAGTGTGGTAACTGGTATGCTGAGGTCTTGGTCTAACCTAGTGGCAGCTGGCATGCCACTGCCAGGGCCTGGGCCTAACCTAGTGGCAGCTGGCATGCCACTGCAAGGGCCTGGGTCTAACCTAGTGGCAGCTGGCATGCCACTGCAAGGGCCTGGGTCTAACCTAGTGGCAGCTGGCATGCCACTGCAAGGGCCTGGGTCTAACCTAGTGGCAGCTAGCATGCTACTGCTAGAGTGTGGGCCCCAGCCTGGTCGTAGTTGGCATGCCGGCATTTGGTGCTGGGCCAGACCTGTTGGTGACAGAGTGTTTGTTTCTTCCATCGAGTAGTTCACATTATCTGGATGAACAGTAGAGCCACCAATGGATTGCTGGTGATTAGTCAGCAGTCTCAAAGGAAAAATATTCATCAATTTTTTTAGGGTTTGCCTGTGAACCAAGATTCAGTTGTATATCCCCACTTAGCAACAGCAGAAAAAGTAGAGTGCTTTTGTTGGTACCTTGGTTTACTTATCTTGGTGGATTGCAGATTCTACTAGAAATTCCAGTCAAATGTTCTTTCTGCCAGAAAATGGAATAAGCAGTCAAATATCTGTGTGCAAAGAAATTCAATCTCGCCGAGACCATAAGTAATTGATTGCCAATCAAAGGCCATGGCCAGTTGGCGTAAGCAAAATCCATATGCAGAATAACAGTGTCCAAACACCTCCATTTTCTCTGTACCTCTTACTTGATTCAAGTAGGTCTTTGAGTTGCCGCATTTTTGTTGAAAAGCATCAGCTAAAATTGATACTCTGTGATCGTCGCTTATTTAACGTTTTACTCCAGACAGGTGTTGGTGTCAGATGTGCTGTGTTGGGCTAAGAACACCTATCTGTGATCATCGCCACAACAAAAAGAAATAAGAAATAACACCAACATTTTTTCTGCTGTTTTGCATTGTTTTCCATATTTGTTTTATTCATTTCTACTCAGGAAGTGTCTTGTTTTACAGCAACCCAGAACGTACAAATAAACGGTTTATTTAATTACCTAAAAAAGGTGGCGACGGGTCATGTTCAAACTCAAATCAAGCAGCTTATTGTATGAAACAAAATTATTACATTATCATTTACTAATAGAATAATCACCAGCAGAAGGATTTCACAACCTGGCAACGTAGAAACTGGCCTTCAATCACTGACCTGTAGAGCTTTTTTCCATTAAAGACTAGTATAGCCTTTAGGTAAAACGTATTAGCCGTATAAAAGAAATATTATTTTACTCAGTGTTTGCATTCGGTTTATAACATCACTTGCCTCCTGATATAATTGTAGGGCAAACACTACAATTAAAAAGTACCTTATTAGAAACAAACAAAAATGATATTTTGAATTTGTCTTTAATGAGTAATCAAGGCCCTGAACTTTGGCATTACATGAGTTTGTATTACAACAGTAACATTTATAACAGCATTTTACGTGACTTTGAAAAACAAGAAGGAAGAGTTTGGGGGTTGACAAAGGCTCGAGTGGAGTGGGGGTGTTGTCCCGTCGGTCTCATCTTCAGTCGCTCTCACTGCCACTCTCCAGGTTCACGTACCAGTTGTCCTTTCCCAAGTCCTCGACGAAGCACGGGCCTGGAGACCCAAAAGGCACGGACGTCACTCCAGACTTCAGAGCCCACGCTGTCACTCAATTCCAGCCCCCTCCCCCCCGTTGGGTGTGCCGCTCACCGTTTGGGGTTCCGTCTTCGTCCTCTTCGATGTGGTCTGTGTCGTAGCTCACAAAGATGTTCTGAGGAAACACAGTAGAGTTAAACATGAGCCCAAAGACTGGACTGGCCGTGGTGGAGCCTGACCCAGTACCTTGCTCCTCAGGAGTCGCTCCCAGTGTCCCGGCTGCTGTTTGACCAGTCGGAGGACTGGCTCGTTGGACTTCATCTCCCAGCAGCAGCGGTCAGCAACGACGTCACCATGAAGCTGCAGGTCGGCTCTGTAGGTCCGACCGTCGGCTCTGCCACTAAACACAATAGAGGGTGGGCGGTTGGGGGGCAGGAGAAGAGAGAAGTCCAAGCATAAGCTGAGCTAGTTTGATTTCACAGCATAGCGGCTGGTGAGGGGGGGCTGCTGACTGACCTGTAGACCACCCGGTCGGGGTAGAAGTCACAGCGCTGGTTCTCTGGGTTCCTCAGCTTTACCGTCACGATGGCAAAGCTGGACGTCTGGTACCAGCGGGCCAGGGGGTGGAAACTGAACGAGTCACAGGGAGATTAAACGCAGACGTAACGTGTGCAGATTTAGTTTAACTACATCTTTATTGTCAGAATACAAATATCAAAGAGTGTAAGAACACTATGACGGGACATTTAGAAGAACATTTAACGCCATAAGGTATAACATCGGACGTTGCCACGAGCGATGAGGAAGGACGTTTATTTGAATATGCACTTTGTACATTTTGGGGGGGTCACCAGAGTCTTCCTCGTTGGTGTCGTCGCTTTGATGTTCACCTGCAGGAACACGGAGATCATCACTAAACACAATGCTCCACTCTTATGTTGTCACATTTCATTTTTCTGGGTACAGAAGCAGTGACGCGTCATCTCCTTTATGTGATCACCACGAATGGAACGGCCTCTCTTGTGAGTGAGAAACCAAACAACGGTGTCGGTCTCCATCTAGAATTCATGCCGAAGTTAGACAATTACATTGTTTACCTTTGCCGAGATGAGCAGCAGGAGGTTCTCTTCCATTTTGGATTCTGTGACGCAAACATACAAGTGGTAATATTAATATTGCGGACATCATTTAATCCCAACCTACGTATTCATGCAGGAGATCTCATGATTAATTGATGATAAGTATGTAGTAGATGATACATGAATAAAGTCGTGTTGGTTGGCGAGACCGCTGCCGGTTAACCGACTGTGGAACATGTGTGTGATGTTTTATCCAATTGATTTTAGTATTGTATATATTTACGCTGCTGACCTCGTGGTCTGCTCAGCAGACTTCAGATCAGCCGTGTGGAGGCTTTTCTGTCCGACGGCGGCCCGGCGGTCAGGCGACGGTGTTTGACCACACTCCGGGATCAGCTCGAGGGGAGGAAGCTCAGCGAGCGGGTCGACCTCGGCCGCTCTGAAGGCTTCGGCCAGAACCTCCACCTTGATCCCGACCTCCAGAGACGGTGCCGCGTCCCCAGACCTGCGGACAAGAGCCGTGCTTCACTTGTCACAGCAACGGAGGCCGGCGCCTTGTGGACCCGCCGCTCTGGTGTTTGCCTACTTAGATGTGTGACCCGCCTCCTCGGCGTCCCGGCGGAGCGCCCGCAGCAGGTCCAGGTGCTCCTGGTTGGTGACTCCCATCCCGGTGTTCAGGATCTCCGCCTGCACGCTGCATTCATTGATCACAGTTTTCATACCCGGAACCTGAGTCAGACGGACCTGAGGGGAAAAACACATTTAATAATCATTTCTCTTCTGCCAACGGAACCAAAACAGGGCAGTCCCACGTACTTGTTCCTTTTCGCTACAAGATGGAAATCTGATCGCAAAAATGTCTTTATAATCACATTTTTTGAGATGCCAGAATTTTTTTTGTGCCTTTATTTATACGAATGTCGCGAGCTACAAATGTGAATGACTATAGCAATATAAAATCAAAAGCATAAAAGCATTAATGCAGTAAAAAGATGGCAAAGACAGACACCTTTTAGTTCGGAGCCACTAGAAGGCCCCACGTGAAGATCATGAGTCAACATGTCAGCTTCATACGTGTGTGTGACCTCAGGAGAAGGTCACAGCAGTCTTAAGATAACTGCACTAATTACTTTGAACAAAAAACAAAGTTAAAACTTTTAAATCCCGTTTTTTGGCTCCTTGGTGTTGTAATATCTTAAGGGATAACAAAATGAAATCAATGATTTGTGCCTCAGAGTACCGAATTTACACGCGTTGGAAGGTTAAGGGCCAAAATGGTAGCAGAAGTGCAAACCAAGCTTCAGAGTTGAGATAAATGTGTGAATCAGTAACTGGATGAGCTCACCATGGGATCAACAAACACGGTGTTTCCCAGACTGAACACGGCTCTGGCTCGGTGCTGCAGGCCTTGGATCTTCTGGCTGATCGCTCTGGTGACCTGAGAGATGAACCGGGGTCCAATCACATGTTTAAACCACCAGCCAGGACAGTAGGAGGCACAAACAGGTAGGGGTGGGAATCTCTTCCCACCTTCCCACCTCACGATTCGATTCTAAACTGATAAAACGATTATCGATGCATCTTGATTTTATAAATTTTCTCAAATCTGAGTTTTCTACTCAGAGGTTGCTAATCACTTCCACTTTATTTGATAATTAAAGAAAATCAACAGATGAATTACCTTTTCATTTTTTATAAGAGAAAAAAAAATCTTTGTCACAAATAGGATTTTCTATCAACAATGCAAGAACCAACGCAGCTTGCATTTCAACGCAACATGGAAGTAGCCGATGTAAAAAAAATATTGAACACATTCATTTTTCTTTTAAATAAATAAAAAGCTGCTCTTAGTCTCACACCGGTCCGTATTTGTAAAATACCGGGAAAAGAAGTCTGAATCTGTGAATATCTTGCCAACTTTCAGTACGGATCAACTTTTTGGAAAATGGAATTAATGAGGTAGGATGTGTGCAGGCTCCTCCATAGTTCGGTAAAGTTGGCAAGATATTCAGATTCAGACTGGTCTGCGAGCTGGACGCGTCGCTCTTAATGTGCCGGTAATGATGCTTGTAGCTGGTTGTCATCTACGGTTAGATAAAGGTGGCGTTTGTGTTTTGACAACGTTTTATCTCAGAATGTCGACTTTCTATCCCCTTTCTTCAGTGCGGAAATGGGCTTCTATAGTTGTGTGGATGCATCACTCCAGCCAGCGAGCAAATATCTCGCGCGAGACACTTATTATTTTTTTTAATTCCGATTATTAACTTTTCTGAATCGAGACCAAATCGTTCCAGAGAGAATTGAGAAATTGAAAAATCGCGTGGGGGGGGCACAGACCTCGGGGTGCCAGTCGATCTCGCCATCGCTCGGTTTGACCCGGCAGACCACCATCTCCACGGCCTGGCCGGGCAGAGAGCAGAACCGCTCCGGCAGCTGGAGGACCTGATGGGATTTGACCTCCTTCTTGTTTCCCACGTCGATAAACCGAACGAAGACGGAAAAGAACAGCCGGTCGGCTCTGAGGGGGGGGGACAGGACCTCCACCCTGCAATCAACAGTTATAAACCAGTGTAAAAAAAAAAAAAAAGCTGGAGCAGGGTTAAAGGTCAGCAGACATATGAAGTCACATCAAACAGTCGGTCACTCCTAGAACCTGGAGCGGTTTGAGCGAATGGACTTTCAAAAAGTTCTGGACCCTGCGAGCTTCAGGAACATTTTAAGCCAGATTCTTAAACCAAAGCGGATTTTTAAACCAGAATTCAAAACCATTTGATCACAGAATTTACTTGAATAACAATTTGTTCATTGATGCAATATGGTGGTGTTTTTATTTCAAGTCTGTCGTCTCAATCAATCAAAACTTTTCAAATTTCAGACTCAAGGTCCAGATTATGTTTGTATGCATGTTCTTTGTATCTCTTGGGTTTGTCCTGGTTAATAAAGCTTGAATAAAGGGGGTGGGGACCGGACGGAGCAGCTGTGACTGGCGCTCGAGTTACGAGCTCGGCTGCAGTTCTTTGTGTTTGGACGACAGACCTGTGGAAGACTTCGTGCTCCTGGACAGCGTACAGGCCGCCCTGCAGCACCTCCTCAGCTCCGGGTTTCTTGTCGGCGTAGAAAGCAGACATCTCCGCCGCCAAGCTCTGGAAGCCTCCTCCGCCCTCCTCCACCAGGCGGCCGTAGAACACCGATGCCGTCTTGACATGGAGAGGCAAGACCTGCCAACATCAGACGCAACGTTCTACATTTGTGAGCAGCGGTATGGTGGCTTCTTCAACATCATTATGTCAAACGTTTTTGGGGGATTAACATGACGACTGAGAACTGTGCGAGGGGAACATAGAACACAGCCAGCTGGTCCTTCACGTCAGGATCCTGGACAGATGAAGACTAAGCCTAATTATTTAAATCAAAGATGAGAAGAACAGAGACCTCTAGGAGTCCCGAGGAAGGAAGCAGCGACTCGTCCAGCTTGGGGATGAATCTGTGACGGTTGGGACACACGCTGCGGTCTCTGCAGACGCAAACACAGGAAAACACATTTTACTTTTAACCAGAAGGATTCTTTTATTCAATCAAATTATTATTTGAATCATTCAACCAGAATACACAGATCCTACAAGCTTTGTTCAAAGAGCAGATCCTTTCTCACATTATACAGGCATGAAACAGGTCAAGGGTGAACAAGGTGAGAAGGATATTACCCCTCTAGGGCATCGGTAAGAGATTTCTTCGAGTCATCCGTTGACGGGGGGAGCGGTAGCGTTAGCTAATCATTTCCCCCCGGAGCGCTAGCTAGCTGCCCGACGTCGCGTTCTCTACTACTGTGTTAAATGACTCAATTCATCAAGCTGTAGCTAACGTTAGCCAAGTCTGTGTCAACAAAGCTCCTGGGTAACTTAACATAGATAGACCAGAAAATATTAAAACCATCACTCACCCTGTTCGCAGTTCACTGAATATGAATAACCCCCCCCCCCCCCAAAAAAACTCATCGAATCTACACGATACACGTAGGGGTTTTAATGCCTGATTATAGCATTTGAGCAAAGTGTGATTAGAATTATACATATCAATTTTCATTCATCGGCTTTTATTCATTCAATATTATTTAAAAAAACAAAACTAATCGAAGGTGTGTGATGTATGGCGTTACTTTAACAGTTTCAAAAGTAAAATAGACTAAATTCTTCCTGTAGTAAAACACAGAATTGAGGATGTGACAGGACAACATGAATAACAAACAAACCCTCCAGTTGAAGTAATAAAATAACGTTTTCACTCGGTCTCCTTGTTTTCATACTCTGATGAGAAAATATGCAAATAAATAATAAGGAAATAAAGCTTCTGGTCTAGATTACAAAGTGAGGATTAAACGATCAGCTCACTGCACAGAAATGGAAAGAGAAACCACACAGCGGTCAGCGGATCATCTTTCAGTGGGAAAGCTCACCTGCAGACTCCGAAGCTCTTGAGGTAGCTGCATAGAGGCCTGTCGGCCTTATGGTCCTCCTGGGCCAGCTGGACCCCCCGAACGAAGGACAGCAGCTCGGGGGGCAGCGGGGCGACGGTTCGCTCGAGGTAGCCCACAACTCCGACCATGTGACTGGTGTTCCTCTCAGAGATCAGCAGCACCGACCTGGTGAGCCGAGGCTGGTCCTCGGAGGAACCCTGGAGGAACAAAGACAGGCGTGAACACGAATGTCCTCTGGCCCATTGAGACGTCTTCTTTTAGCATCGATCACTTCCACAGGAATCGGCTCCTACGCGCTCCGAGAGGTTTCTGAAGTTCTTGGCCATACAGGACAGCCGGCCGCCGAACAGTTTGGGAGAAGCGGGGAAGTCGTAGTGGACGACGCACGACGCGTCTCTGACTCCCAGGGACTTCAGACACTGGGTGGTGGTCACTGGAGGGCAGAGGTCAAGTACAGCGTGACCAAAGGGTTCACAGGAGAAGATTCAGAGAATTAATGTTCTTTATTCATATTTTAACAAAATCTAGTTGAAATGGGGCAGAGATTTAAGGTTTTGCCAACGATGTAGCCACAAACTCTTTGTAATACTCAAGGTTAAATATTAGTGAAACCCAGAAACAAAAGGTGACCAATAGAATTGTTCCATGAGGCGTAATACAGGGTTTCACCCACATTGTGTGCACGTGTGTGTGTGTGAATGTGTGTAGTTTACCCAGAATGACGTGGGTTCCGGGGCCGATGGCTTTCCCCCACTGCTCGATGACAAAGTCAAAGTTGTGTGTTAACCGCTCGTGGGTCTTGAGGCAGAATGCAGACTTGCTGCTCACAGCCTGAAGAAACATCCTCAGTTGTTATTATTGCTACTTCAAGGCTCTGATATTAAGTAAAAAAAGAAAGCTGGTAATTTTATAGACCGTGTATCTGACAGTAGAATGACTCATACTCACTGTAGGTTTACTCATTTAAAAACAAAGGAATGTACAGCATAACCGCAGGTCTTAAATAAGTATACAACGTCTGTCTGGCTGCCATCATTGTTACCTGAAGTCCATCTAGTGAGAATGTATCTGATGGTGCAAGCAACCAACTTCTTAAAGTGTTTAGTCTTCAATAAGTGGCAGTGAAGACAACTCTTTCTACTCGGCAGGAAACAACCTCGTGGCTCATTAAGAGTGAAATGAGTAGGAAGCTGGTGGCAGGTTTCACCTTCCACACGTCTTCAACCTCCTCAGCAGAGTCTGCTACAATCACAGTCTTCTGGCCGATGACTGGGTTGAAATCCAACGCACCCAACAGCACTGAGATCTTGCTGCTCTCCAGAGTCATGAGGACGACCTGCAGGAAGACCGACAGCTACTTTAAACAGAGCGTCTCATCACACAACCAACTTACAGTTGAGCATCAGCCTGCACTACAACTGGCACGGACCTGCTGAACGTTACCATAGAGAACAGCTTCCTCAGGGACGGTCACGACAATGCAAGGGTATGGCATGTAATTGGCTACCAAACCCTCCATGTGACCGGTCCACTTTTTTGCCACAGCGACGAGCTGCCGAGAACAGGAAGCCGTCTCCTTCTGGAAATGCTCCAAAATGGCCGCCATCTTTCAGGAGAACATTAGTCAGTTTCAAAAAAAAAAAAAAAAAACTAGCCGCTGTAGCTCAGAAACTGGAGTGAGAAGGAGGAGCAGGCGGTCACCTGATCCGGGGCGACAGTGAAGAGCCGGTCGGCCTCGTCCAGCACGAGGTGGCAGAGACGCAGGAATAGGAAGCAGTGGCTGGACAGCAGACGGACCAGACTGAAGGGAGTGGTCACTAAGAGCAGGCCTGTGCGACGAGGATCAGCAATACATTTTGTGTGGGATTTTATCATTTCTAGCGGGGAGCACCAGTGGACGGAGATGACAGTTCTCCACTCACAGTCTTTGGGGATCTTGACGGCCTTGGCCTCGTTTTTGCCGACGCCAAGCAGCAAGATGAGCGGGTGGAGGACCGGGGCCACCTTCATGTCCTCCAGCAGGCCGTACACCACCTGAGCTTTCTTCCAGCCTTGACACAGCAGCACCACTATGGGCTGGAGGTGAGAACCAACAGTTAAAGCCCCCAGCAACGATACGACAGCAGTCAATCAAATCATGGCGCGGCCGGAACAATCTAAAATCAATGTGTTAATGTTCTCACCCCTGTGCCTGAGGTGAGGGAGAAGATGGAGTTGAGCAGGATGTGGGTGAGGAGCGGGGCCAAGTAGGCCAGAGGCTGGTCGGCGTTGTGGGAGACGATGACGGTGTTGCATCCTCGGGCCACGGCTGTCCAGCTGTAACGGTCGGCTGGAGACAAGGCGCCATACTGCTTGCTCTTCATCGCCTGGAGGCAGAGCGGCATTTCAGCTTCAACCTGCCAATTAATAAATCAGCACGACCGCCAAAGTCCCCGTTTATAAATCCTAGTTCATCACTTGTGTGTGTGTGTGTGTGTGTGTGTGTGCGACTGTCCAGATCAAAGGCCTCGGAGACCTGGAAAGTGCTTCTGCTGCAGCTTGGAGGGAAAGCGGAGCTGCGACTGGGACCAGTAGGCACCCATGGTGGGTGAAGGCATGAGGACACTCTGTCTACCGCTGCCTCCATCCGTTAGTCAGTCATTGTTTTTTTAACGGACTGAGAAAGATGCTATTCAACTAAAACAGAACCCTGTTTGTAATTAAACCTGCAGGTAAAAGGTCACCAAGCGAATGTTTCAGGTCACAATTCGCTTGCCCCTTTTTTCCAAGTGAAAGCGGCCTCGTTGATGTTTACCCAGCGGAGAGTGTTGGTGACGGGAGCGTCGTCCAGGCCGCTGCAGGGTTCCACTGGGAGGGCGGAGTGCACCAGAGCCCCACTCCGGCTGGGGTCATGGGGAGCGACCTGAGGACAGTCGGGAGGCTGGTGAGACAGAAGACATACGAGACAGTAAATAATAAACCCCGCTGAGTTCTGCAATGGCTCCTTCTGCAGCACAGGCGGCAGCTCTGGGGAAGCAACGTTTTGGTCAATTATTTGCATTTTTTTTTTACGTTGGCAGAAATAAACACTACCTCCAACAATGCGAGTGAAGCTCTACTCCCCAGAGACAAGGACGCTTTAGAGGAGCTTAACGTGTTCACCAGTCTAGATACCATCTTTAAGTTTCAGGGAGGGGTTTGCCAGGATGACTGTCCCTGATTGGTTAACCATGCACCGCCTTGATGCTTTAACCGGTTTACCTTCCAATCATAAAACAAGGAAATCCTTTTGTATCAATTTAGTACCATTGCAGGACGAGAGAGAGCTTTCTAATTTTGTGGAGATGTACCAACGGGATTCAGTCAAGCAGCTCAAATAACCATAAGAACACTCGGAGAATGAAGAGGAAATACATTTTGGTTTGTGAAGTTTAGGATAAGCCGAGAGAACGAAACGTACCGCGGCGTCTGCTGCCTCCGGGTCGGCAATCGGGGGCTTCGGGTTCAACCACTCCAAAAGGCTGAACGGGACGCAGCAGTTACAAATCAAAAACAGTCTTCAGCATTGAGAAGGGAGTTTGTGTCACGTTTCCCCCCCCAGGTAAAGAGATTCACACTGTCAGACTCCTTCCTCAGCTCACCGTGAACAGGCCCACTCCTCTTCCTTCCTCTGCGTCCTCTCTGCTGACCTCGAATCGCTAGCACACAAAAACATTTAAGGAGGAAGCGTGGAGACGCTCAGCTCCGTCGCACAACAGGTGGTATTGATATTACATTTCACCGTACCTCGTTTCTCCATCTGCCAAACATCCAACCTGACAGCTCTCCCCAACACCTTGTTCACGCGTTCTGCTGAGGAAACAGGGATGAAGCTAAAGGACGTGAGCGACTGGTGCCCTTCACTTAGCATCGAGTGGGAGAACCTCACCTCGTGTGCCGTGTTGCAGGATCGCTGTCGCTTAGAGGCAGACGAGACAGAAGTAGTGAATATAAAGCTGCGGTTTGGTACAATAAGAGCCACGGTCCTCTAATGTAGGTGACAGTTCACATCTTATCTGTTTTCTAAAAAGGACCTTTGCTAATTTCCAGCTAAAATGTATACATGGTTTTCTTTATCTGCTGGGCGTCAACATTTCAACACACAGCGATACCAAGAAAGACACAAAGAACTAAACTGAAGAGCTAACGTAGCACATTATCAGCCAAAGGTACATACTGGGTCTTTAAATACAAAGTTAAAACATACATATCTCTGAACTCTAGATTAAACAAATTAAGATTTTCTGGGGGTTTCGGCCTATTAAAAACATGTGATGATTTCCAGGAAAGTTATGACTTCTAATTGTTTTCTTATTATTCATTTATTTATTTTATGCTATTTATGGACGTTTCCAGACGAGGATGTCCTTTGGGTACAGAAGGGATCTTTACATCTACTGATTTAAAGAGTTGAAAAGGACAGGAGCGCTCTGATTCTAGTCGGGCCTCTAGTGGCAGCGTACACTTCCTGTCCTGTGCAGCGGCTGGAGGCTGCAGTTGTCTCGTCTGGTCGACCGTCTCGTAGCTCTTCGTGCTGACTGACCTGGGACAACAACAAAACAAACTAACTTTTATATCAAGAGTCATTGCTCAGGAATTAATTGTAGAGGTGAAAAATAACAACCACTTTACAGTGCGCAGAAAAAAAAAAAAAAGGATTCAGACAAAAAAAGATCCAGCCTGCAGGAGTCTCAAGCCCTTTAGATATTACTCACAGCCAAAAACAAAACCCTTCCTGTGTACTCACAGCGGGAGCCGCCTGCTGCTGGACGCTGCCAGGATTCAGGAATCTGTTCAGGAAACATTTATTACCATAATATGTCAGACATACAAGGAACTTGACTTGGCGTTGGTGCGTAACAGCAGACAAGTACGACAATGGACGACAAGACAACTGTGCACGAGGAATGAAATAATTGCTATGGGTTAGTAGTATGAGGCCATGGGTTAATATACTACTAACCCATAGCCTAGAGGTAAACGCCTGCTGGTGGATGCTGCCAGGATTCAGGAACCTTGTGAACTGGTTTCAAACAGCCACGTTAAAAACGGACGGAGAAAGTGCGGTCGACCTCAGGCGATCACACGAGGCGCGTTGCACCAGACGGAGGTCAATGCTCACCTGAACTGAAGAAGAGCCAGAGACGCGTTGGTTTCCTCCATAGAGTCGCTGCACACGAGAGCAGCAAGGACATTTAGCAACATGAAACCTCCCCAGATGGTTAGGTACATTAAGACAATTATACACACACTTCTGAAATGTTTACATAGGCGTTTTCAACAACTATTCAAATGTAAAAAAAAAAGAAGAAGAAAACACAACAGCGGCGCGACTGCTTAGCGGGTGGGCGCACGCCTGTACATTGCATGAATAAAACAGACTAGATCGGCTACAACAGCTTCATGCACTAGTTTGATTATTTGCCGTTTCATGCCAATGAAAGGTTCTGTGTTTTCAGCACAGCTCAATGTCGGTACTGTAAAACTTTCAATCACTGAATGAAGCCATATGTGGGACAAGTATCGCAACATTAAATTGCCTGCACAAAACTCTTGATCAGCATTTGTTTATTGTTGTTGGTCATTTAAACCAATAAGCGCAGAGAGAGAGAGAGAGAGAGAGAGCGTGTGTGCGAGCGAGTGAGAGATCTGCAGTTGTGGCCATTTGTTAATTTACTTATTTTTTTGCAGGAAATAGGTTTAAACTTAAACAAATTACTTATACAAGTAGTTATGTCTCATTGTAGAAATTTGTCCTGTTATTGACGTGTAATGCGCAGCCAGATATTATATCGAATAGCAAATATTCAAACGTCCTTTTTGAGCAATTTTGACAGCCCTACTGGTACAGGAAACAACGCATATTTCGGTGCTTCCTTTCGGTGCCTGAGCCGATTGAAACACTTTTTATTTGACTAATATTCCCCAAATTTCAATGAATTTATACACTTCAAGCTCTTAGAGGGAAAACAATGTAATTATACTGTAAACTGTCATGTGAAGCAACGTTTTTTATTCATTTATTTATATTTACAGTATTGTTTTGTAGGAGTTAATATATTGTTCAATTTGAGGAAAAGAATTTGCCTTGGCAATAAAAAATAAAATAAAACCTTTTTTGTTGTCAATCACTGTGGTTCAGACACTGATATTGTTTTAAAAAGGTTTATCACATCTATTGGACTGCGCTCACCTTTCCGCAGCGGTTCTCGTGACCTTTGACCCGGTGCCTCCCTCAGAGGTCTGTGGCTCATGTTGGGGTTTCTAAAGCAGGCGAGAGGTCAGAGGTGAGGGGGTGTGGGTATTTACCGGAGAACGGACTGTGAGCAGAGCTGCTAACCTGAGGCGTGGAGGGAGCCGCAGGATGTTCCACAGAATCAAAGCGCGGAGAAAGAGCTGAAAACAAGCGGCAGGGCAAACGTCAGTGGATGCAGTCATTTAACGGACCACAGCTACGGACTCTGGGAGGAACCAAAATCCAACCGCTGTTGGGCGTTCTGTTGTTGCCCTCTCCAGGCCCAAGAATGAGTAATCAACTTTAAATCCTGACAGTAATGACGATCCAGTATTACAAATGCACTCGTCTGTAACGGGTCAGTGTGACTCTTCATGTTTAATCCGACTGTGGATGAGTCTCCACGCGGCGTGTCTTTTACCGGGAGGTGGTTGGGAGGTTTGTGGCGCCGGCTTGTTTGAGGTCGAGCAGATGCTTTGGTTGAAGAGGCTGGATGACAACATGACTGTGTTCTGACCGCCGCTGTAATACGCATACTTCTTGGCCACCAGATCGTCATTCACACAGATCTGATGATTACAAAGATAAAATCAGCTCTCGGTGTAACAACACCAGTGATGAGAAATAGTTTGGATGTTGCTGACATTATTAGGTTAAAGATGAAGACTTAAACATCTCATAATAATGTCTGTATTAAGCTCTGTTAAACCAAATGTGTAGATCTGGCACAGTGGGGTCAAAGTTCACCTTGACATTCCATACGGTCAGGTAGAGTTCAAGGGAGGTAGAGTCCGACTCAGATTCGAGCATCACAGCCTCCGCCATAGTCGACGCTGATGGAAGGAAGAGAACTTTTAAAGAAGCTCCTTAAATCGGTTTTAACGCCGGTCTGGATCTCCAGATGTAAACACATGTCGGCCGCGTCGCTCACCTTGCAGCAGGCGGTGCAGGTAGAGTGTCGCAGAGCCGTCCCACTTACTGGACGCACTGCAGAGGAAACCAATGACTCAAGACGACAGGATTTCATTTGCCAGAACAAACAGAGATACAACATTTATATTACTAGTCTACTGTGATTCAAAGATCAACCGCTTGTCTTACACGAGTTTTGCGCTCTCCTCATAGACGGTCACCCGCAGGGTTGTTGGTTTGATTCCCGCCAGGTGGAACTTCCTGACCCAGAAGGGCAGCTGGAGGAAGGTCGGCAAAGCGATTCGGATACTTGTGGTTCAAAGACGACAAACAAAAGTTAAAAATCAGAAAGCATGTTATGGAATATTTCAATAAAAGCTCGGTAGAAGAGAATGATTTGTCTGATAAAACAGAGTCTTGATGAATGATCAAAGTTGCAAAAAGTCCATTTATTGCTTGCAAGCAGGAGGTCAAATACACAGGCACGTATCACGGTGCTCTGTGGAAATGACGTCTCCGAGCAGTAAAGACGCTGAGTTTTTATACACATGTGAAGAACATTCTCCGTGCCAGCTACGAGAAGCTGCAAAGCAGGTTGAGATAAGAACCCAGGTGAAGCTGAGGGCAGCACACACACACACAAGATCCTCCTCAGTGGACACAGGACACTTGAGACACGGCTTTAGCACAAAACGATGTTATAATATATTTTACCAGTACATGCACAACCACACAAACATGAAATCTTTCACTCAGTCTCTTATTGCACTTTATTACCTTCAAATGTAATTATTTCAAAACGGTGTTGGTCTCAATCTAGAATATATAGCAGCAGCATTCAGTGTCCACCCGACCGCTCTGCTCACTCAAATGCATGTTTTGCTGTTTGGCATAACGGTGTCCGAAGTTCACGATTGACAGACACAGGGAAAACAACGTCGACAGCGCTACACCGAAAACGTTAAGACAAAGCAGCAGAGCGCTCAGAAAATAAAGATGCCGTTGGTGACGCATCTTCTGTAGACGCCGCATGCACTCTGTCCTCGCAGGGAAAATTGGAAAAAAGACACGGGTGCTCAGAAACAGTCAGCAAACAGAGACTTTCTTTGGTTGAGGACAACCCTACAAATAGGCTAATATGTGGACTACTTTGGTTAAATGGCAGTGGTGCTGTGTGGTGGAGGACTGATCCGGGCTTACTGGTCTGAGGCGACAATAAGCCGCTCTCCTTGGTCCACCAGGAGGCAGCGAGTCTGAGAGGACACGGAGTCCATCACGATCGACTCCACCACGGCCCGACACCAGGACTTCATCCACGACCAGTACACCACACACACCTGAGAGGAAACCCAGCCACACACACGTGTTCTCATCCAGATCAGGCCTGATCAAAACGTCCCAGGGTCAGACTCTGCACCCGAGTCGGGCGTGTAAGAACTGAGGGAGACAGCGGACCACGGGTGCTGCGTTACCTGTCCCTCCTCTAACGAGGTGGGCTTCAGCTGGCGCAGGTCCCGAGTCACGTCCTTGTAGAAGAGGTTCATCTGGGCCTGCAGTTGGTCGTACTGGTCTGTGCCACTGCCGGGATCCTGCACAAACCGACCCCAGATGCAGGACGGGCTCTCGATCTGCACAGATGTTACAAAGCGGGTATGGCTGCAAATCACTGTCAAAATTCGAGAGCGAAAATCAGGTTGACGCGCGCTCGTAAATCAAACATCCACGAGCAAAAGTCAGTCTCGAGGGAGGAGAATCTCTGCTCGCGCTCAAAGGTGTTTCCTACGCGCTCGCTGTTGTTCTTTCTGACAGTAAGGGGGCGGAGCCAGTCACATGGTCTCTACACCTGATTGGTTACAAACCCCGTCTTTGGATTGCTGGAGTGATGCATTCACACAACTGAAGAAAGGGGATAGAAAGTCGAAATTCTGAGATAAAACGTTGTCAAAACACAAACGCCACCTTTATGTAACCGTAGTGGAGCGTAGATGACAACCAGCTACAAGCATCATTTACCGTCATTACCGGCACATTAAGACCGATGCGTCCAGCTCGCAGACCGGTCCGTCAGTCTGAATCTGAATATCTTGCCAACTTTACCGAACTATGGAGGAGCCTGCACACATCCTACCTCATTAATTCCATTTTCCAAAAAGTTGATCCGTACTGAAAGTTGGCAAGATATTCACAGATTCAGACTTCTTTTCCCGGTATTTTTCAAATGCGGACCGGTGTGAGAGCTGGCGCGTAGAAAACACCTTCGAGCGCGAGCAGAGATTCTCCTCACGAGGAAGTTCACGTTTCGCGAGACGAACGTTCGATTTACGCGCGCGCATCAACCTGATTTTCCCTCTCTAATTTTGACAGTGATTACTGTCAACAGTCAACTACCACACCTGTCTGAGTCAAAGAGCAACAACAAAACTGAAATCCTCGTGGTGCAACGGGCAAGGTCAAGAAGTTTGTAATGCGCAGGAATTAAAAACACACCGAACCCCGCAAATACGGTTACATTTTTGCTAATTACATCATGGCGTCGATAATGTTACTGTAACCAACTACGAACCATTAACCACTCCGCCTAAGTTGCCGTTAACGGGATACCTACCCTCAGGATGGAGATGTTCACCATGGTGTGAGCTTAATGTTAGTTAGCTAACGTTAGCTGACCAGAGAAAAGCCTTGAAGCGGAAATAACGTTTAAAGTTAACTTTAACTTAGTTGGCTACTCGCTGAACAACTCAAACAAACGTCTAGAAGCCGATCTCGAATTTTAAAAGTTAGCCGAATAACCCAACAAAGCGGAAATATATTTAAAAAAATGTTAAATTAACGCTAATTAGCGGTCCTCGTTTAGCACCTTGGACGCACTTCTTGTTTCTTCTTCTTCTGTGGTGTTTAACGGCGGCTCCCATCCTTTTTCTTCTCCTTCTCATATAAAATGGCGGACTGCAACCAACGTTTAGGTGCATGCCGCCACCTACTGTACTGGAGTGTGTATAGTCATGTCAGATAGATTAGATTTGATAGATATACTTTATTGATCCCTCAAGAGGGACATTTTGGTATCACAGCAGCATGTACAGGGAGGAAAATAGAATAAAAAGATACACATATACAATATAATAAGATAGAAATATTAAATTATTAAATTAAATAAACAAACTGAAACAAAAGAATAACCTTCCAAAAGAGACAATAATAATAATTTGTAAAAGGAGAAGAGGAAGAGGAAAGAGCAGCAACATCACAGCAGTACAGAGTTGTTATTGTCATTATTTGGCCAGGGATGATTTATTGTAGAGTGTTATTGCACTGGGCAGGAATGATCTCCTGTATCCTTGTGACAGCGGAGCTGAAGGAGTCTGATGGAGAACGTGCTCCGCTGTCCCTGTAGCAGGTGGTCAGGATTATCCAATATGGATAACAGTTTCTTCAGTGACCTCCCCTCCAACACCTTTTCCAAGCTGTCCTGTTTGCAGCCAATGATGGAGCCGGCCTGCTTAACAAGTCTGTTGGTGTCACCGGCTCCAATGCTGCTCCCCCAGCAGACCACGGCCAAGTACAAAGCACTGGCCACAACAGACTGATAGAACATCTCCAACATCTCGCTGCACACATGGAAGGGTCGACGCTTCCTCAGGAAAAAAAAACGACTCATCCCATTCCTGTTCAGTCTGTTGTCGATGGTGTAACAATAGGATCGTTTGTTGCAGTACTGTTGTAGGGGGGACAGATTTAGGGCGTGCACCACTTACGCGGAGCCCTGGATAACTGCACCAGGCAGAGTATTGTTGACTGCATACAAATAAAGAACAAGTAAGCAAAACTGCTTTAATCTTCCATTATGTACAGTCGAGAGTGAGACAGAACATAATGAAACATGGTGGCAGCGGTGTGCACGTTGAAAAGTGTCAGAAGTGATTAACGAGGAAAAGTTCAAGTTTAGCTAGCGATGGACGGGCTAAAGACCCCGGGAACTTTGGTTTTGGACTCCGACAACTTGGCAAAGTCATGGAAAAGTTGGAAGGAGGAGTTTACACTGTACATGGACCTTACCATGCCAGACGCCGAAGACACCACAAAAGTCAAGCTATTCAGCTATCTCATCGGAGAAAAAGGCAGAGAACTCTGGACAACTTTGTCGAGTGCCAGCTCTTCAGCGAGGACCACAGTGAGTGGAATGATCAAGCAATTTGACGAATTCTGCAACCCCAAGGTAAACGAAACCGTCGAAAGATACCGATTCTTCTCGAGGAGCCAAGGGTTGGATGAAAATGTGGACAGCTATGTAACTGACTTGAAGACACTTGCTAGCAGTTGCAATTTTGGGGACATTAGAGATTCATTGATTAGAGACCGACTTGTTTGCGGTACAAATGGCTCAGCGCTGAGGGAGAGATTACTCAGGGAAGAGAAGCTGACTCTTGATACATGCCTGCACATCTGTAGAGCTACAGAGCTGTCCAGGGAGAATTGCAGAACACTGAAAGGACAGACAGTGGAGGAGATACATGCACTAAAACAGACGGAAGGAAGGAAAGAAGACAATAAGATACTGTGAAAGTTTTGTGGTGGAACACACGAGAGGAATAAGAAAAAATGCCCAGCTTTTGGAAGAAAGTGTAAGAAGTGTGGAAAGGAAAATCATTTTGCAGCACAGTGCAGATCAAGCCAAGAGATCAGTAGGAAAACGAAGAAAGCGCATGCAGTTGTAACAGATGTGTTTAGGGCATGGAAGTAGTCGACTCAGGTACTGATCTTTTCAGCATTTATTTGCTCCTGCAGAAGACAATAAAACACAGACATTGCCTTCTGGTCTCTGCACATCAGCTCCCTACACACAGGGTCTTCAACAGTGTAACACTACTGTGCAGGAAAAACGGGACTACTGCAAAATCTAAATTATAGCTTGTCAAAGATCCAAATTGTGACAAAAAGGGGAGAACAACCCCAAGTGAACAAAATAGATAACAGTGACAACTGCAAAAATTCCAGCATTAAAGCAAAAGAAAACACATACCTGCAGAAGACAATAAAACACAGACATTGCCTTCTGGTCTCTGCACATCAGCTCCCTACACACAGGGTCTATGGAGGGAACGTATACGTCAGGACGACCGGATGTAGCGAATACAAATGGCGCGAAACTAAACAATGACCAAACGTATACTTTTATCACCACTCCATCGTCTAGAATAATGACGCACCACAGCTGAGAACCGCGGTCATGTTACCCACCCAAAATAAAATACACACACACACGTTCAACAAGATTGTTGAATAATAACAAAAAAATAAAATACAATACTTTGAAAATGACAGTGTATTTCTAACTCCGTTACACAGTTACAGAGCAGACTAGTGACAGCGACTCATATGAGGATGTCAACTGTGTAACTGAAGCAAGTAGAGAGGATGAAGCTGTAAACCAGGTTAAAGACAGCCACAGTCAAGGCCAGCAGCTCTTTGCAACAATGAAGATAGGGGAAAAGTTGGTCAACTTCCAGATAGACTGTGGGGCCACCTGTAATATCATCCCCATCGACCTACTGAACCCAGACACACAGTTAGAGCACACTGAGAAAGTGATACATGCTAGTGATGTATAATAAGACCAAGTTGACTCCTCTGGGTACATGTAAGGTTAAGGTCAGAAATCCCAGAAACAACAACAACAACCCCCGGGGTTAGAGAAGGTGTGCTGGGAAGCGCAAGGTTGGTGGTTCGATTCCAGACTGCCCCATGTTCCATGTCGAAGTGTCCCTGAGCAAGACACCTAACCCCTAATTGCTCCCCGGGCAAAAATGTGAAAAAGCCACGGGTTTAAAGTGTAATGTAAGTCGCTTTGGATAAAAGCGTCTGCTAAATGACCTGTAATGTTATGTAACAAGCTATACAGATTAGAGTTCCAAGTGGTTAACCAGAATAGCAGAATCCCTTTAATGGGCAGAAAAGCCAGCGAGGCAATGAAGCTGATAAAAGTACAGTACGAGAACATCGTGGCTATAGGCAGCATAGTGAGGAAAGAGCCGAGCCCAGTGATAAAGGTAGAACACATGTCCATGGACAAAATAAAGGAAGAGTTTGAGGATGTGTTCACCGCGACACGGAGCTCTCCGGCAAGACAAAGGGTGGAGGAATCTGCTTCTACTTCAACAACAGCTGGTGCAACGACGTAACCGTGATCCTACAACACTGTTCTCCTGATCTGGAAACTTTTTTCATCAACTGCAAACCCTTTTATTCCCCCCGTGAGTTCGCTTCATCCATCCTGGTCGGTGTTTACATGCCGCCGGCGGGCAACGTGCACGAGGCTCAGCGGACACTCGCCGACCAGGTACGGCGTGTGGAGCGGACCAACCCGGACTCTTTAGTTATTGTCCTCGGGGACTTTAACAAAGGAAATCTCACCCATGAACTCCCTAAATACAGACAGTTTATTAAATGCCCCACCAGAGAGGAGAACACGCTGGATCACTGTTACACCACAGTAAGCAGGGCTTATCACGCCGTCCCTCGTGCTGCACTGGGACACTCTGACCACGTCATGGTCCATCTGATTCCTGCATACAGGCAGAAACTAAAGCTCTGCAAACCTGTGGTGAGGGAATTCAAGAAGTGGACCAGTGAGGCGCTGGAGGATCTTCGGGCGTGCTTTGACTGCACAGACTGGGATGTTTTCAGGACTGCTACTGACAGTCTGGATGAGTTCACAGAGGCTGTAACTTCCTACATTGGCTTCTGTGAGGACAGCTGTGTACCATCATGCACCAGGGTGAGTTACAACAACGACAAACCCTGGTTCACAGCGGAACTCAGAACACTACGCCTGCAGAAGGATCAGGCATTTAGGAGTGGGGACAAAGACTTGTACACAGAGGCAAAATACAAGTTTAGCAAGGCGGTGAGAGATGCTAAACGACTGTACTCTGAGAAACTCCAACAACAGTTCTCAGCAAGTGACTCTGCTTCGGTCTGGAGAGGCCTCAAACACCTCACCAACTACAAGCCAAACCCCCCCCCCTCCATGAATGACCTCCGCCTGGCAGACAAGCTCAATGAGTTCTACTGCAGATTTGAAAGACAATGTCCTGATCCCATCCCCCACAGCTCCACCAACCTGCTGCAGTCCCCCTCCCCTCCCTCCCCCAGCCCATCAGGTGCTCACGCCTCTTCAACTATATCGCCTTCCCCTCCCCCACCAGCAACGACCCTCTCTATTCTAGAGAGAGACGTTAACCGGCTCTTTAGAAGACTAAATTCCCGTAAGGCAGCCGGTCCGGACTCAGTCTCCCCTCACTCCCTGAAGCATTGTGCTGACCAGCTGTCTCCGGTGTTCACTGACATCTTCAACACCTCCCTGGAGACCTGCCACGTACCAGCCTGCTTCAAGGCCTCCACCATCATCCCTGTTCCCAAGAAGCTCAGGATCACAGGACTCAATGACTACAGGCCCGTCGCCCTGACCTCTGTAGTCATGAAGTCTTTTGAACGGCTAGTCCTGACCCACCTGAAGTCCCTCACCGACCCCCTCCTGGACCCCCTGCAGTTCGCCTACAGAGCCAACAGGTCTGTGGACGATGCTGTCAACATGGCCCTCCACTACATCCTCCAGCCTCTGGACTCCACAGGAACCTACGCCAGGATCCTGTTTGTGGACTTCAGCTCTGCTTTCAACACCATCATCCCGTCTCTGCTGCAGGACAAACTCTCCCAGCTGCACGTGCCCGACTCCACCTGCGAGTGGATCACAGACTTCCTGTCTGACAGGAAGCAGCACGTGAAGCTGGGGAAACATGTCTCAGCCTCTCGGACCATCAGCACCGGTTCCCCCCAAGGCTGCGTTCTTTCCCCTCTGCTCTTCTCCCTGTACACCAACAGCTGCACCTCA